AGCAACTTGGCACAGTGGAAGGAGGTCGCGCCATCAACTATCGAGAGAGCCACATATATCTCCTTCTTGAAGTCATGTTGATACTTCAAGTCCAGGTGCACAAGGGAGTTGAAGCATATGGGTCGAGCTTCCGGCCTAGCAGGTAAAGGTCTCTTGGGAGGTGCTGAAAGCTCACACGTAGGACACTTCAGTGTGGACGCCATCTTCAGCAAATCCTGATTTGCGCCCCCAACATCCAACATGCGAACCAGAGCCTCGTTAGTCGGATGTCCAAGCCGCCTGTGGATCAAGTGCAAACGCGCCATCTTGCCCTTGTCATCCAACTTGCGCATCTCAACGATCCCCCGAGCAGCATCCTCCTCCTTGAGATTAGTGTGAGGAAGATCCAGATCCTCCACTGCTTCAGCGATATCCGGAAACTCGGGGAGCTCTTCGTCGCCGTTGCCGTCATCCGCGTCCTCCGCACCATGGCTCACCTCATCCTCCTGCAGCACCTGATGAATACTTTGGTCATACACGTCAACGTCCGTGTTCATGAAGATTTCCTCAGGCAAAGTAGGGGAGGTCCAGAAGCTGTTGACGCGTAGTTTGCCCCCCAAGTAGTTCTCAGCACCTCTGATGACCGCCTCCGCAAACTTTCGGGTGTAGCCGCCCGCGAACTCGGCAACAGAGCACCATCGGCCCTTGACTTTGACCCCTCCCAAAGAAGGAACGTGGCGGTGGTTGCCAGGGCAAAGTCGACAGGCCGCCTCCAGAATTTCAGATTGAGCTCGCAGACGTGTAGGTTTGCGAAGAAAGAGACCAGGGCCAGGGCGGAATTCATCATCAGGGCGGCGAAGTCCAAAGGCACACATTTCGGTTTTGCCGGAAGGCAAGCCATCGTAGGTGTCCATGACGACGGGTTCGCGCCAGGCAGCGCTGTTCCAAGGGTTCTCACCCAGGATGGCTCCACCACGGGCGCGATGTCGTAGAACAACACGTTGGACCCATGCAAGCAATCGTCGTTGCTCTTGACGTTCGGCTGCCAGACGCTGAAGATACTTGGGGCTGCGACGACCGAAGGTTTGCAGGATACTCCACTTGGTACATGGCCAGGCGATGGCCAGAAAGTCAGGCTGAAACTCTTCCAAGTAGGCTTCAGCCTGAGCCTGGTGCACAGGGTCGAGGAGGTCCCATTGTGGTAATGACAGTGGCTCGCCAACGTGCCACCCACGACGGGAAGCAGCAAAGGAGAGAGCCATAGACCACGTGAAAATTTCCACAATCCTCCATGGACCTGGTCGTCTCTTAAACCTGGTAGCTGGAAACGCCATTGAAGGAGACGAAGAAGTCATAGGAGACATGGTGGTCGTTGAGGGCGTAGCCGTGGAAGCCGCAGTCAAAGCCGTGCCAGCAAGCATGGTCTTGGCAAACGCTGAGAGTGCATGGCAAGCATGCCCCACCTTGCGGCGAAGTGCCCTGTGGAAGTAGCACGATTTGCCCGTCACGTCCGGCTCGGATCCATCCTGCTCGCCATCCTCATGCTCGTTCTGAGCGTCCGTGTCGTCCTCAGATTCCTCCAGGAACTCCACTCCAAACTCGTGGCTCGTGATGGAAATGTCGTCGTCGTCCGCCCGAAGCTCCGTACCCGAGGACATGTGGGACTCGTGCTCCGAAGTGGTGTGCTCTGCCTCCGGCAAGTCCGCAATCACTAGAACACCCAGGTCGGATTGAAGAAGATTTTTCCACTCCTCAACTTTCTTCTTCCTCAGCTCATCGCCAAAATCGCCGAAGAAGTCGACATTCCCTGCGTCCTCGCCCACGTGCTCGCCTGCATCCTCGGAAGTGTCGCCGTCGTAGGCCTCATCATGGTCTTCTGAAGGCATGGGCTGACTCACAAAGGCAAGGGATTGAGGACTATCACGAAGTAGCTTAATCTTGTCCCGGAGCTGTGCCTCGAGTTGCTGCTTGCCCGGAGGAAATCCACGTGGATAGTCGGTCAAGAGCAAGGCGGGATGTCGTGCGGAGGTCAAACTCATGATCGTCTTTCGGCCAAGGATCTGCACCGTTTTGTCCGAAAAATTGAAGACAACCTTCCATCGAGCCATCTCCGACGGACCAACCAAACCCGGGCAAGCCTTCGCATCCCCCTTGACTTGGCTGATCCGAACGACATCCACAGTTTCTGCTCCAAGGCCTGCCGGGTACAAGAAGGCAACACGACTCACCTCAGGAACGCCGCTTCCAAACTGGAAAGTCTCGTTCTCCTCTACCTGCCACCATGGCACCCCAAGTTGCATGAGCTTCGCCTGAAAGGCCTCGTGCCAGTACTGTCCAGCCACGGCAGTCCTGCAGCCGGAATCCAAAATCACCTGCCCAGCAGGTGTGACAGGAGCTGCAGTCAAAGTAGTCGCTGCCACCGGCAAACATGTAGAAGATGCCATCGTGGGGTGTGATGTCATAAGAACCCCGTGGCGCTCAGAATGATAAAGAATGTGCTTGAGATCACATTTCTTGCATCGTGCCCAATGTCCATGCTGATTGCTTGACCACAGGAGGTCCTCGAAACGATGCGGACACCGAGCTTGAACTTCATTCGGAACCGGAGCCGCCGAGGAAGGAATGGTCCGCGAACCGTTCCATGACTGGCGCCAAAGACCAATCTTGAACTCTTCGAGCTCCCTCTTCTTCACTGCAGTGGCCTTATCCCTACCTTTGGCATCCTTCTTAGCTGGTGCTTCCAAAGGAGGCTGTATAGGAACAGCTGCGGCTGCCGCAGAGGAAGGCCACGGCGTCGTCGAAGTAGGCAGGGTCGTCATCGGAGAAGGCGCAGTCCCGGTAGAAGATGGCATCGGTGCCGTCGATGAAGTAGCCATATCCGTCGCCTGGCGTGGATATCCAGAAGGAGGCACTGGGAGCTGGGCACGTTGAAGACCATCCTCTTCCTCCTCTGCCTGGAGCAAGTAGCGAAGGCCCTTCTTCTCC